TTACACCTACGTAATACTCCGAACTAATCGTAAATTTTCGTAAGTTTACGCTTGCGTAAAAACTTGCGGAGGTTTACGCCTATTTATTTTTGCTGATGTTAATGTGTTAATTAAGTCTTAACAAGAAATATAAAAATGCACTATATATTAATTAGACTTTTAAAAATATATTGCATGAAGTACATGTTAAAAGAAGATCCTGTATATAAATAAATATTACTTTATTTGTATATACAAGTTGATTCATAACCCTTCAAATTGACATAATGTCTAACCAGAGTAATTTATATTTTTTTTAAATTAAAGTTTTAAAATATTTTGTATCATTCATGTTCAGTAAACATGGTTCTAAAAATAATGGAAGCTTTTCAATATATCCATATTTTTGAAAGTGTTTAAAAACCTGACTTATAAATTATATGCTAAACTTAAGTGTTTGGTTATTTTTCTTAATATTTTCCAGCTAAGATATCATGTTTCTGTATGAATATATATGAATCTATTATACCAAAATTATAAACTTTCAATACTTGGTGATTATCTATGAATGCTATCAAGTGAAAACTTGTCATTGGACTTTCAATTATATTTGTATATAGTTAGCTGTCTACAAAAATCTATTATCATGATAGATTTTCTATAGATGGTTAACTGTATACAAAATATATTAAAAAGTCCAATAATAGGTTTTTCTTTGAAGTCACTTATATAAGAAGCTAAAATGACAAATTTGGCTTGTAATTCTATAAAGTTATCTAATCTTTAATAAAGAAATATAAAATGAGTAAGTAGATCTTTTTATATTTAAGTAATCAATTATCATACATACGTTCCAATATATTAATATTAAACATGTAATTTTTTTAAAAAAAGCTAGTAAACTAAGGAACTATTATATTGCCAAATTTAGTTGGATGTAAAAATCTGCTCCAATTTACAATTCAAGATCTTGTGGTGCTTCATAAAATTTTAATATTACTTTATTTATAGTATTTAAACTTTATAGTTTAAATTAAAGTTATTGATATTGTAAGTATAATTAGAAGTAGTGTTTGTAGTCGATTTCACATTAGTCGATAAAATCAGCTTAGCCGACTTAGTTAGCTGATTTTTTGAAAAATTGGCTTGGCCGACTACAATAGGTTATATATATGTTAGATTAAAATTTAGGGCAGTTTATACTAAAAGCCGAAAATTTCTGAAAAGAAAATCAACGAACATAAAAAATACGAGCAAGGATGAGAGAAATCTCCGATAACTTCCAAAGTTTAATCAAATAGAACTTCGAATAATCAACTCTGACTTAGCCGGCTAAGCCAAATTTTAAATATCGACTTAGTCAAGTTGATAAATAATGGGCAACTACAAACACTAATTAGAAGTATCAAAAGTATATAATTAGAATTAAATTGGAATTTTAAATTAATAATTTTTTTTTTTTTTTTTTTTAGCAATCCTGCCTTTATTCATGTAAACTGTTATATAAATTTTTACACCTGAGTGTACAAAATTCTTACAACTTATTGTTCTAATCTAATAAAGACTCACCAAGTATGCGACCTGCTATAACAACTGTTTGTCTACTCAGGAATCATGAACTAACTTATGATTTCATATCCCAAAGGGTACCCCCTTTGATTACAGACTGGCCATTGTATACCTCGTCAGGATCACCAACCTTTCTTCTAACTTTTTTCACCAAAATCTGGACAGAATAACTATCTTCTACTCTTCTATAAACAAAAACATATATACCACATTTATGAAAAACCAAAAACATTTAGGAGAATGAAAGGAAAATCGTAACCAAAAAACTACAAAAAGAAGCTATTTTAAATATAATTCCATCATAAATAGACTAGCAAAAAAAGTAAAAAAGAAAAGTTGGCGATTCTGACGAGAAAAAAGAAAAATGCTCTATTATAACCTGTGCTAGGTGAGCAACATTGCATATCTCTATTGTAAGGCTTCACTTATACTATTAATTCCTCTCCGACCCTACTATCCCTGGAAGTCTTCGCCCAGGTTCTTCTAATCAGGTGCTGTCATCATTCCACGCCAACTCTTCAGTCTTCTGCGGCCCCGAGCCAAAACCAGTAGCACCATGTCCGCTTATGCTAGACACGTGATTACCATCTACCAGATATGGGAATGTAAACACTGTGTAACCTATGCAAATTCCTACTTTTTGTCGAAATTTTTGAAAGATTAGCAACAACGAGAGAGTGTGTAATAAGGGAGACCACTTGTATAGAATAAAAGAGTGTGGCTTGAAACCAAAAAGTTTCAAAGTTTACTATACCCCTGGGTTCTCAAGGAGTCCTAAAGGCTTCGCTAACAGAATTTTTTCTACCAAAATTTATATGCAATAGCAAGTGCCACCTGCCTTTTCCTCCTCTGTGTCTTTGCTTCTGGTTTGCATGTTAGATATAGAAAGAAGTTCCGAGGCAGTTGTTGACCTCTCTAAAAACAACCAAGACCCCTCTCAAACTATAGTCTACAAAACTTCGTCAATGGTAATAAAAATACTACCAGAATTATACTTCACTTTATGCAGGGCGCCACCTGCATGCGAAAACATATCACTTCACCCTTTACAAATCCGATTTTTAGCTTTTGGCTTGCATGCCAAACATAGCAAGGAGTCCACTATGACCTTGCTACAAACCGTTTTGTAGCTACATGACTCTCCAGTAAACTTTTTCTACTTTTTCTTTCTGTAAAGAGGGTGGTCCAAGTGATCGTCGGAGAGAGTTTTTTGTTTATATTGATTAATAAATTTTTTACTTATGTACAATTATGTATTCCTTTAGTTACTTTTTTCTTAAATTTGGCAATCCTGCCTTTATTGTATTAGGAGTGCATAATCTAAATACATGGTTTCCAAATAAAAAGCCTGCAATCAACTTAATGCCTTCTACCCTCCTACTCTTTAATAAAGACTCACTCAGCTACTCGTAATGGTGCCCAAGTGCGATCTGCTGCAGCAATAATTCACTCCTCTCTGGCATCTAACTTACTAGATGACTCCCTGAAAAAATCACAAAAAGCTTATTGCTAGCTTTGTCAAGATTGCCTTTTTCTTAACATTTTTCCTTCTTCAAAGGAGTATACAACAAATGGGGTAATAAAACAAAAAACACAAATAAAATGAAAACGACAAAAACAAAAGGAAAAAGAAAAAACAAAGAATATAGAAAAGAAAACAAATACGAAAGAGAATATAAAAGAAAAAATCACAAAGAAAAGAAAACAAAAAGGACAGCAGAAAATTTCGTCTTTTTAGCACTACTATTACCCATGCTAGGCTGAAAAAAATTATATAACAAATACGGTATTTGTATATCTTTAGTGTAAGATTTCGCCTTATCAAATAAATTTTCTGACTAAATCATCCGGACTCCTAAACGACATAAGCGGCCCAACCTCGGTATTATATGAAGCAGCACAGTCCATAAACAAAACAAACCAGACACGTGATCGGATTTGGGAGGTGTAAACAATGCTGACCTTTTGGAGAAGGTAAGCTGTTTTGCCCACTTTTATGAGAAATTTTGGAAGAGCGGTGAGGAGGCGGAGAAAAAGAACGAAGATGCTAGTACTCTCCTTATTTTTTCAGGTAAGTAATAAACTCTAAGCTTGTCGGCAAATAGCGTATAAGAACTATTTCTAAATAACAAGTGCCTAGCCCCCATGGTGAGTAATAAACTCTAAGGAAGTTAGCAGGTAGTGTATGAGAACTACCTCTAAATAACAACTGCTAAGTTATGGAGCTTAAAGATTACTTCCCAGACTGTTTCTACCTTTACAGATGCTTGTATTTTTTAAGAATTTTGGATTTTTGTGGAAAAAAAAAGTGATCATCAGGAAGAGTTTTTGTGTATATAAAGTATATTATTTTTGATTCCTTTAGTTACTTTTAAAAAAATATATTTAATTTCTATATAGATTAGTGTTGTTTCTGCAATTAATAACTATTGCTAAACAGTATATTCTCACATACTAACCAAATTTGGTTTAAATTTAACAATTACTTGTATAAATAATATATATATAAATTACTTAAACTAATTTAATTAAAATCGATTCAATTTTAATATTTAAAAATCATCATACAGACAAAAAAAATCTTAAAAAAATAAAGTTAATTAAAACTAAAAAAAAAACAACTCGAAAAAAGTACTTACAATCTATTACAAAACCCTTTTACTATTGCAATGAATGCTAAAAAGTATAGGAACAGTATTTTAGATAATAAAATTTCTATGTCTGAAAATATGATAAGTTCTGATGATGATTTGGCTAGTTTAAATAGTATAACTGGTTCAAATGACAGAACTAACTCTAATATACTTTCAAATAATAATGAAAATCCAAATTCAAAATTTGTCTGGCTTGTAAAAAGTAATCTTAAGTAGAATTCTACTTGGGAAATAACATACCCTTGGTTATGGTTGGGTCAAAAAGGAAAAGAGCCAGGCTTTATTTTGTAAGCTTTGTGAAGCTGCAAAGTTTAATAATAACTTTATTACAGGCTGTGAATATTTTTTTTTTTTTTTTTTTTTTTTTTAATAATTCGGCAGTTTTGCCTTCACTTTATTAGGCTTTGTAATAATTATCTAAACTATTAAAATTTTC